CTTTTCTTTTTTTTTTTTTTTTAACGTTTATTTATTTTTGGGACAGAGAGAGACAGAGCATGAACGGGGGAGGGGCAGAGAGAGAGGGAGACACAGAATCGGAAACAGGCTCCAGGCTCTGAGCCATCAGCCCAGAGCCTGACTCGGGGCTCGAACTCACGGACCGCGAGATCGTGACCTGGCTGAAGTCGGACGCTTAACCGACTGCGCCACCCAGGCGCCCCCCGCGTGCTTTCTTTAACAGAACATCACACACATACAGGCACGCTTGTTTCAATACCTACATCACGTTTAAATATGTACCTTTTCAGGGGCGCCTGGGTGGTTCAGTTGGTTAAACGTCAGACTTCGGCTCAGGTCACGATCTTGAAGTTCATTCTCTCTCTCTCTTGGGATTTTTTCTCTCTCTCTCACACACACGTTCAATTTCTCTAAAAAAAAAAAAACAGAAACAAAAACACTTTTAATATGTATCTTATGAATCAGAGTTTTCCAGAGAAATGGAACCAATTGAATGGAGGGATGGATGGATGGATGATCAACTGATCAATCAATAGATAGAAATAGAGGGATCTATTTCAAGTAATTAGCTCGCATTTTTGTGGACCTGGCAAGTCTAAAATCTGTAGGGCAGACCAGCGGGAAGGCAGGCTAGAGATGATGTTGATGTTTCCATCTTGACGCAGAATTCCTTATTCTCTGAGAGACTCCAGTGTTTGCTGTAAGGTCTCCATCTGATTAGATGAGGCCCACCCATGGCATTACTTGTTCTCTCTGACTTAAAGTTGGTTGATTATAAATGTTAATAATACCTACAAAATATCTTTACAAGAATGCCCGCATTAGTGTTTGCCCAAACAACCGGGCACCGTGGCCTAGCCCGGTTAACACATAAAGCTAGCCATCCCAGTAACATTTACAAGCCCATAGCCTATTCCTAAATTTTAATCAAGAGGGATCCCACTAGGGGCGCCTGGGTGGCACAGTCCAGTAAGTGTCCGACTCTTGATTTCAGCTCAGGTCATGATCTCGTGGTTCGTGAGATCAAGCCCCGAGCTGGGCTCCATGCTGACAGCACAGAGCTTGCTTGGGGTTCTCTCTCTCTCTCTCTCTGTCTCTCTCTCTCCCTCTTTGTCCCTTCCTTGCTCTCTCTCTCACTCTCCAAAATAAATAAACTTAAAAAAAAAAAAAAAAAGAGGGATCCACAGTAAGAGTTTATAACGCTGCGGGGCAGGTCGAGGCCTCGGCTGTTGGAAGCTGCCTGGGGAGGCAGGCACGCCTCCTCAAGCAGAGGGAAGTACAGAAGGCACACAGCCTGCTGCTCTGGGATCACCCCACAGCCCCCAGGGCTGCCATGAAGTCACACAGGCCTTCTTGGGCTCCCGCCTGCCGTGTGCTTGGGGTCAGATCCCTGGGGAGGTCCCAGGCTGGCAGCTTCCTGCCCTCAACCCCCCCCATGTTTACCCTTCCTTTCACAGTGGATTTATTCCCACCTTCATATTCATTGAGTATCTGCTGGCCCTGGAATGTGAGACCAGGAAGCCAGAAACCCAGAAGTCAGAAGGGGGTGGCCTCTAGGCTGACTGTGGGAAGGATAGGTTAGCTGTGGGTGGTCATGGGAGCTTGGGGTGAGAGGGGAGGGGAGGAAGGGGGGAGGGACATTCCTACATTTTGAGAAGGTCAGGGAAGGCTTCCTGGAAGAGGTGACCCCCAGCAGTCTTGAAAATCCTTTAGCCCTTTTGTAAAAACAAATAACCTGAGGCCGTTTGTTAAGGTTCCAAATGATGGTGGGGAGATACAACATGTTAGGAAAGACTTCAGACTTTCTCTGTGACATGAATTATATAAACGGTCCGAGCTGAGTGTCACAAACTCCCATCTGCCTACTCTTCTCCTATTTCCCGTGCATCTGAATCGGGGTTCTCAGAAGTTATCTCTGGGAAATCTTATGAAAGTCTCTTCAAGACAACTTAGACTCATTTACACGCCATCTATAAGGCAGCTCAAAACCCAGCAAGCTGGGGGGGGGGGGCAGGGGAATGACTAAAAACCCAACAAGCAACTCGAGCCTTTCCAAAAAGGTTGAAAATCCAGTACGGGCGTGAAGCAGGTTGGAGGCCACCTAAATTAGCCGAGTGCCTTTGAAAGATCCATCAAGGCAAGTTTAGGACCCAGCGAACTGACAAACCCACGGGGACATCCGAGTGTACATTTACGGTGTGAGCCTTTCCGCTTGAGGGGGAGTTAATGAGTCATTAATACACCACAGTTCTTTATTGAAGGCCCTCTCGCCACAGCGGCCCCTATTCAGTGGCATTCTTGGAGGGGAAAGTGGGCGCAGAAACGAATGTGTGCTCAGTAGTTGAATTTATACGTGAATGAAACTCGGGGACTCAGCAAGAGGAACAGCACGGATGCCTGTGTGGCCGCCACACAGACAGGGCACAGAGATGTTAATCCATGTGGGGTCGGTGAGCAAACGGTCCAGAAAGAATTCTTGAGACGTTTTTGGTGCAAAAAAGGCTGTCTTTATTACAGCACGGGGACGGGACCCTGGGCAGGAAGAGCTGCTCTGGAATCACGGGACTGGCTGATTCGATGCTTTTTAGTCGGTGGGGGTCAGGGGTAGCATGTCTCTAAGGAATTTGTGTCTGCTGAAAGTGAGGTTTACAGGACCTTAGAGGGCTGGTTATCATCAAGATAAGGTTACCCTTTATTATCTAGTAAAACATTACTCATGAGACCACCTACGGATGCCATGTTCTATCTGTCTCAGACGTGCATCAGTGAGCCACGTGTAAGATGATTTTTTTTTTTTGGTTACATTTCCCTTGCTTTCGTTCCCCTCCGCATTCCCCTCCTGAACATTTTTGACTCTTCAATCTTTAAGGTTGCCGGGGGTGGTAGGTCTCATCTTCCGTAACTTCTTTGTCTTGAACGAGGGGTGTAGAGACATCCCTTCCTAGAGGCCAACATTGGTCAGTATGTAGGAATTTCGAAAGGCAGGGGCTGCTGAATCCAAGGTGGACAACATGTATGAGTCTCCTTGAGTAGAAAGGATCATCTGTCGGCTTCAAGTTACGGCAGTGAGAGAGACACTGGAAAAAAAGATCAAAATGTGATTAAAATCATTTTGAGAAAAAGAAGCCCGAATAAGAAATCTTTGATGATCACAATCTCCCTCCAGTCCAGGAGTTTAATTTTTTAAGAAGAGGAAGGGATCATTTCAAGCACCAATTTGAGTATTCATATATTTTTTTGCCACGCTGTTACATTTTTGCGATCATCTGGAATATAGACACAACATTCCATTTTAATAAATGGTGCAGGGGCGCCTGGGTGGCTCAGTCGGTTGGGCGTCCGACTTCAGCTCAGGTCACGATCTCGTGGTCCGTGAGTTCGAGCCCCGCGTCGGGCTCTGGGCTGATGGCTCGGAGCCTGGAGCCTGCTTCCGATTCTGTGTCTCCCTCTCTCTCTGCCCCTCCCCCGTTCATGCTCTGTCTCTCTCTGTCTCAAAAATAAATAAAACGTTAAAAAAATTGTTTAAATAAATGGTGCAAATACCTCCTTGTGCTCCTGTCAGAACCTCCAGTGCTGTTCTGTTTTATAGAAGTTCTTTATGCAGGTGGTGACTTCAGTATCTAATAGGGTCATGCTATGTTGGGAGTCATGTAGGGCTCTGACTGTGCACTTACGAAGGATTTCCATGTGCCAAATGACATCTTCTAGTCCTAAATAGGGATCAAAGACGCATGTTAGGTGGTCATACCAATGAAACGTAGAACATGTCCACGGTTGTTTTGAACTTGGAAGGTTGGCTGGGTTGGGATGGTTTTAACGGCATGTCCATTTTTTCAGACAAAACCCAGAGTGCAGTGACCTCTGCAGCCTGGAAGAAGCCATGCCCATAGCTTAGAGCTGCACAGCCATTGGGTTCTATTAGGAACCAGCCACCTAATTCTGGGCCTCCTTCTCCAGTCAGTAGCAAACCCATCAGTGGCCTGAAGAATAATAATTTATGAACATATTTCTTAACCGTCGTGTGCTGTTTGCCCATGTATCATAAGTATGGTTTCTCTGTTCCCAGCATAGAATTGCTTTTTGCCTTAACTGTCCAATTGTGGGGGTGAGCCATATGCATTTGTCCCAGATTTGATACATGCCTTCCTGTGTATACCGATTAGTTGGGGTCTGTAATTTAGGCACCCTCTTGTGCCCATTCATTTGTGGACAAGTGAAGCCAGTCAGAACCTTAAGGGTTTGAGGGTATGAAGAGATCTGATTGTGGCCTGGGAGATTCCAGGTGGTACTAACGGTAGGCCAGAGGGCAACATTTTGTTTTGTGATAGAGCTATCACGAAATACAGTGGTCCTCGAGTCACGCGTCACATCTGAGACACAGGCGTACAAGGAACGCCAATCTGTGTGCGGTGATGAGGAGACCCACCAAGGCTGACCGAATGTGCTCGATGCAGGCAGAATTCTACATATCTAGCCAGCCGTTCGACTTTGAGGTTCGGCATAATGTTGTGTCCATGGTAAGAGGGAATCGTCAGTATAAACGGGGGGAAAGAGAATGAGAAAGACGAGTGCAGCCTTTCTTGTCATTTGAAGAGAAGTTCGAGGTCTTCTAGGCTTCGTGTGGCTTGCCTGGCTGCACGGTCTACTTGGTTATTTCCTCCAGATTCCATAGACGTTTCCTTATGACGTCCCCTGAGGTGATTTACAGCCACCTTCTTAGGCATGTGTACCGCCTCTAAAAGGGCTATTAGTTCAGGTCCGTATTTAATGGGAGAGTTATGACGTGATAATAACCCTCTCTCTTTCCACATTGCCCCGTGTGTGTGTAGGGCTAGGAAGGCATAGTTAGAGTCAGTATAGATATTAATCCTGAGGCCCTTTGCCAGTTGTAAAGCACGAACGAGGGCTATTCGCTCCGCTTTCTGGGCCGACGTATTTGCTGGGAGGGCTTTGACCTCAATAGTCTGGGTTAGACTGACTACAGCCTACGCTTCACCGTGAAACTGCTGCCATCAGTAAAGCAATTGTCATCTGCATCATCAACAGGAGAATCTTTTCAGGTCTGATCTGCTGGAGTGAACAAGATCAAAAGCATCTGGACAGCTATGTTCTGTAGACGTACTGTGGTCAGGTCCCAGCATAAGGGAAGCCGGGTTGAAAGCCGTACAGGTCTTGAGGACCACTTCGGGTGTGTCTAAAAGCACAGCCTTCTTTTACAGTCTTGCTGCAAAGCAGTGGGTCATTTAGCACGTGGGTCGTCCATTGGTGGCCTTGAGTTTCTAAAACACTTTGGACCAGACGTGACGTCATCACGGTCAGGGACCGTCCCATGGTCACTTTCGAGGCTTCCTCTTTCAGGAGGGCTGTGGCAGCCACCGCGCTAAGACAAGCCCGCCACCCTTGTGCTACACTGTCAAGGGACTTTGAGAAATAGTCCGCTGGTCTTTTTTCATTTCATAATTTTTGGGTAAGAACTCCCAATGCTTGACCCTGTTTCTCTGCTACATATAAAGTGAAAGGTTTTTTCTAAGTTTGGTAGAGCCACATCTGGTGCTGATAAAAGCTTAGCTTTTAATGTTTTGAAGGCTGTCTGCTGGGCGTTAGTCCAGAATAAAGGCTCTTTATCAGGGCCTTTCACTGAATCATACAATGGCTTGGCTAAGAGCCCAAATCCAAAAATCCGCAGGCGGCCAAAGCCTGCCATGCCCAGGAAAGTGCGGAGTTGTGTCTTTGTAGTTGGGAGCTCAAGATCTAACATAGCTTTTTTCTGATTAGTCGATAGAGTATGGTGACCTAGTGTTAGTTTATATCCCAAATATTGTACTTTCTGTTTAGATATTTGAGCTTTTTTTTTGGGGGGGGGGGACATGATACCTTCTGTCTGCCAAGAAATTAAGTAAGGTTAGAGAATTGTTACCAGACGTTTCCTTTGTGGGACTACACATTAAAATATCATCCACAAATTGAATTATATAGTCGCTCGAGGCAAGGCGACATCACGGAGGTCTTCACTAAGTGCAGCCCCGAATAAGTGAAGACTGTGTCTAAATCCCTGCCACGAGACTGTCCAAGTTCATTGAGCAGCCCGTGGACTTGAAGGTGAGGTCCATTCAAAGGCAAATAGTGGCTGCCTTCTCTCACTTGGAGGGCTGCAAAAGAAGGCATCTTTTAAATCAAGTACTGTGAACCAGTTAGCCTCCCCACGGACCTGGGTGAGAATGGTACATGGATTTGGCACCGTGGGATGGGGAGACCCTGGTGCTTCACTTACAGTTCTTAAATCTGGGACCATTCGATAGTCCCCATTTGGGAATGGTAAAATGGCAGGGTTCTAAGAAGACTGACGAGGCCTCAAAATACCAAGTTGGAGAAACCTGTCAATAAGTGATTGGAACCCAGCTTTTGCCTCTGGTTTTAAGGGATACTGTCTCTTATGAGGTATAGTGGTTGGGCCCTTTAAGGTCGCTTGAACTGGTTGGGCTTTTAGAGCCTGTCCTGGGACCCTGCAGTCCCAGACGTGCAGATTTACTTCCTTCCAGATATTAGAAGGGATATCAGGGTAAGGTTTTAATTCTCCAGGTGTTAAAGGGAATAAGCCATGCCCTTCTTTAGTAACAGCAAACCTGCTTCCTAGACTGTACATTAACTCTTATCCAAGTAATGGAGTGGGACAAGATGGAAGGACTCGAAAAACATGAGTAACCAACTGACTTCTGTATTTACAAGTCAAAGGCATTGTCTGAGGGCACGTTTTAGTTCCCCCCCCACCCCCCCCCCCCGCCATGCCAACAGTCTTATGGTGAGAAAGACAAATACCGGAGTGCAGAATAAGAAAAGACTAACCGTTCCTGTATCAGTAAGAAAATTGATAAAGAAATTGTGGTTGGCATACACAATGGAATACTACGTGGCAATGAGAAAGAATGAAATATGGCCTTCTGTGGCAACGTGGCTGGAACTGGAGAGTGTTATGCTAAGTGAAATAAGTCATCCGGAGAAAGATAGGTACCATATGTTTTCACTCTTATGTGGATCCTGAGAAACTTAACAGAAGACTGTGGGAGAGGGGAAGGGGGGAAAAAAGTTAGAGAGGGAGAAGGCAAACCATAAGAGACTCTTAAAAACTGAGAATAAACTGAGGGTTGATGGGGGGTGGGAGGGAGGGGAGGGTGGGTGATGGGTATTGAGGAGGACACCTGTTGGGACGAGCACTGGGTGTTGTATGGAAACCAATGTGACAATAAATTTCATATTTAAAAAAAAAAAAAGAAGAAGAGGAAATTGATGAACTTACCTCCCACATCCAGGGTAACCCGGGGCTCAGACATCTTGATGTCAAAGGAAGTCAGACCAGCCTCAGGGCCGCGTCATGCCAGATCCCCCAGTTCCTGCTTTCAGGCGGGGAAGTGATTGCCTGACCCCCTCTCTCTCTCTGGAGACGAGGACATTTTCTCTTCCAAGGCCCAGGGACATCCTCTGCTCCAATGCCAGTCTGGTCACATCTGAAACATGGGCTCCCACCGGACTTCTAATGCGGAGCCGGCCCTTTCTCTGGCCCCTGGCTAGCCTGGTGTTATACAGAGTCCACAATAGCAGCAGCCAATGCTCAGACGTGTATCTTACCCTGTAACTTAGCCCTTTGATTCTTTTCCTGTTTTAATAGCACGTTATCTATTATTAAAAACTCCTGTAGTCACCTCCAGGAGGTGTTGAGTGGGAGTTTGAGGGCCCAAAGCCATTTTAGTTCATTTTCACCAGATGTAAGGTGCCTACTGATTTATAAAGTGCACGTTTAAAATAGTTACTCCCTCAGGTGTAGTCGGGTCCGGGTTTGTGTATTTACAGACAGCTTCTGTTAAGCGACCCTGAAATAGGGCTGGATTTTGATCAGCAATTTAAAGGGCTTTCTGAATTTTGTTGAATTTCACAGGTTTGAAGAATCCTTTTTTTTTTTTTTCTCATTCCTTCTATCAGACCAGTGATCATAGGAGCCCATCTCCCTCTTCTTCGACCCTTTTCCTGGTAGGTCCAACGTGGCTCCGGATTGGGACAGCAGCGCCCCCTACCGGGTAACGTCCCCTGTCTCTTCTCGCCTGTTGGTCAGCAAACCCTGGAGCCCCTACCCAGATACGGTTCTCTTCCTCAGGGGTGCAGCGGTGAGTTAGTCAGGTCCAATCAAACATGATGGATACTTGTTGAAAACCCTCGATAAATTAAGGGATAGTGACAGAATCAATGTCCTCTCTCTTTGGAGAGGCTTGTGATCCCTCTGGTAGCCTGGGCTTATTAGGAGGAATGGGCCCCTTTAGACAATCATCATCCGATATGTCGGGAGGGGTTTATGAGCCTGGTTAGTGGCCAATCACATTCCGCAAGAAGCCCTTAGGTCGGGGTCCTGAACTAGAGCCACCAAGGCCTGGACATAGGTACCTCAGCCCATTTGCCCTGTTTCCTGCAGAAGAGATCTAACTGATAGATCATACTGAAGTTTAATGTCCCATTAATGGCCATTTTTCCTCATCTCCTAAGAAGTACCGAGGCCATACAGTTACAGAAGAAGATCGGGCTTTTCTTTCTTAAATATTGCAATCCGAATTGATTCCAGTGGGTTAAAATGCATCCCAAGGGAGCATCCCTGGGGACTAAAGAAGAAGATCTCATGTTCCTGGAAAAATAGGGAAGGCTTATTACCAAAAATCCCCCCCCCCCCCCAACTCTCAGGTGGCACCCTATACAGGGTATGTCAGAGGCTCCTAGTGTCAAAGTGACTGGAGGCGTTCCTCAAACAAAATCACTATGAACACAACCTTGCCCTCTGGGAGGGATCATGGCATCCCTCCACTACCCCATGGCCCCCTAGGCTACAAATGGGTGCCAGAGAACAGACATAAATAACATGCTGTTTTTAACCCATGGAAAACACTAGAAAAGTTTTACAAGTGGAAACTACCCAATATTGTAATTTAAGTAGTCAGTAGGGGACACTGATGAAAACCAGTGGAGACGGAAATCCGCCATATTCTAAGTGACATCCCAACACACGCAGTCGTCACAGCTGACTTCCCTAGGAAATGCCCCTGGTTGGGTTTTAATTCGGTCGGGTCCTAGTTTCAGCTGGCTCTGGGTGGAGGTCTTGTGGCCCAAAGTGGCTAGACCAGGGATGTGGAGTGGACCACATTAGACCCATGAGGAGGACACCTCACATCTAAGTCTTTTTTTTTTTTATGTTTATTTATGTTTGAGAGAGAGAGGCAGAGCATGAGCAGGGGAGACAAAGAGAGAGAGGGAGACACAGAATCTGAAACAGGCTCCAGGCTCTGAGCTGTCAGCACAGAGCCCGACGCTGGGCTCGAACTCACAGACCGTGAGATCCTGACCTGAGCCGAAGTCGGACGCTCAACCGACCGAGCCACCAAGGCGCTCCTCACACCTAAGTCTTAACTGAAAGCCGTGCTAGTCACTTAGGTGGCTGTCTCCTGCCCAAGACAGGCAGCTTTTTACAAGGACAGAAATAAAGAGAAGGCATCATGTTTCTGGGTCTCACTACCATTCTGGCCAGGGTACTAACTTCTGGTCAAAAGGGAGGCTTTTGTGCCTCCCTGTAGAGTAGCCATGGGCTACAGGATTGCAGCCTGAGCAATCGATATGAAAGTGTTCCAGTAAGACCACACTCTCTGAAAAGGCCCTGGTATGAAAGTAAAGGAAGAGAAAGTACTCACCGAGTTTGCACTAAGACTCAGAGTCCCGATGAGAAGACAGACCCCATGTTGGGCACCGAAATATGATGTATTGTCAGTGAGCAAGCAGTCAAGAAAGAATTCTTGAGATGTTTTTGGTGCAAAAAGGTGCTTTCGTTATAGCACAGGGACAGGACCCTGGGCAGGAAGAGCTGCCTGGGATTGTGGGACTGACTGATTCTATACTTTTTAGTTAGTGGGGGTTAGGGATAGCATAAGTCTCTAAGGAATTTGTGTCTGCTGGAAGTGAGGTTTACAGGATCTTAGAGGGCTGGCTATTGTCAAGATAAGATTACCCTTTATTATCTAGTAAAACATTAATCATAGGACCCTTTAGGGATGCCATGATCTGTCTGTCTCAGACGTGTATCAGTGAGCCGCATGTAAGACGATTCTTTTTTTGTTACTTGTGTTCTCCTCCTCATTTATGTTCTACCAGTTCTGGAGACTGGAAGTCCAAGACCAAGGTGTTTCTCCTGAGGCTTCTCTCCTTGGTGTGCGGATGGCTGCCTTTGCACTGTGGCCACATG